GCTCATGATTTCAGGCTCGATGATCGGTCACATTCAAGACTGTGACACACCCAAGGAAGCTTGGGGCGCAGCGTTGTCCTGATGTTCCATTCGGGAACAGCAGCTCGGAAGCTGCGATTCTTTGCGGCAATTCAATCTGGTCAAGAAAGGCTCGATGTGTGCCAGTGACTACGTCAATCACATCAAGCAAATGGCAGATCAGTTAGCATCTATCAATGTTCAACTTGATCCGACAATGATTATCCGTGCGACATTGCAAGGACTGTATGCCGAGTACAAGCAGTTCATTACGTCAATTTCGACCAGAGAACCTCTTCCGAAGTTCAACGAACTGGTCCCAATGATGTTGGGAGAAGAAGTGCGAATTCTTGGCAGTACTAGTGCTTTGTCCAAATTTAAGAAGAATGTGTGTTTTTTGCAGGTTCTGGAGGTCGAGGTAGAGGTCGTGGCACAGGAGCCGGATACGGTGATGGTAGAGGTCGTGTGCAGAACAAGGCGTCCAACCAGCAAGGTGCGACACCGGCTGCCAGAAGGCAGGTTAACACCTGCAACTATTGTCACAAGAATGGCCACTATGCCAAAAATTGTTACAAACGTCAGAACGATCTGCGCGCTTCGGGCCAACAAGGCCATGTAGGCTGGCCAAGAACGATTCTTTCATTGTGACACACTAGAGTTATGCTGCTTTCGCACCTTATACAGATTGGGCGATCGATTCCAGAGCTACCAGCCACATGACGTCGCATCAAGAATGGTTTGCGTCGCTCGACACTGTGGAAACTCCTCAGTTCATGGTGACTGGAGATCATACGAAGCACGAGATCAAGCATAAGGGTAAAATTCCGCTTGATATTCAAGAATCTAATCTTTCTGGAATTGGAAACGTTTTACATGTTCCTACTCTGACTCGAAATCTGTTATCAGTAGGACATATGGTAGAACAAAGTTTCCAAGTGCGTTTCAACAAAGATGGATGCTTTGTTAAAGACTCCACAAGTACTGTCGTAGCTCGAGGTAGGAGTAATAGACTGTTCAAGCTAGATGCTACAGTTAATGTCGATGAACACCAACTCCCCGTCATTCTGAGAAAGTGCCTTTGTAGTATCTGACATAGATATTTGGCACAAGCGAATAGGGCATATGAACTTTCAGAAACTGAAGACTCTTCCGAGTTTAGATCTAGTCATAAGTTTGCCCAACTTCACTCTGTTGAGCTTACTACAGTGTGTCCCGCTTGTCAGTTCGGCAAGCAAGCTAGACAACCCTTTAAGGGATGAGGTAGGAGAGCGACCAAGCTTCTAGAGCTGGTGCACACAGATGTATGGACTTCTTCTCAACCAAGTTTATCTGGTTTTGAGTACTAAGTTTTGCCCATTGATGATTTCTCTCGCTACACCTGGGTTTACTTCATTAAGAGCAAGAGCTCTTCAGATGTGTTGTCAGCTTTCTAAACTTTCCACACCTTGGTGGAGAAACAGTCTGGACAATCTATCCTTTGTCTACGTTCGGATGGAGGAGATGAGTTTTTGTCTGGAGAATTCAGTGCTTACCTACGTAAGCATGGCATACAAATGTAAGACTTGCGATTATACTCCACAATAGAATGGCGTTGCGGAGAGGAAGAATCGTCACATAGCAGAAGCTGCTCGCACTATGTTGAACGAGAAGAACCTACCTAGACCGTTCTGGGTAGAAGTCAAGCTTCCGTTGCGGTGTACTTGATGAATCGAACTCCGATCGCAAAGAGTTCACAAGAAGACCCCGATGGAGGTATTCACGGCCACAAGCCCGATTACTCATTTTTGAAAGTTTTCGGTTGCATCTGATATGTACACATTCCGGATGAGAAGCGCAAGAAGCTAGATCCGAAAGCTTAGAAGTGTATTTTCCTTGGATATGCCTTAGATACGAAAGGATATAGATGCTATAATCCTTAGTCTAGGAAATTTTATATCAATAGAGATGTTGTATTTGAAGAGTTGCAATCTTGGTATGCACATGCGATTGTTCCAGTCATACCCACTCTTCCTGTTGAAACTGCACCAAGGAGTCCGTCCACTGTACCTTTACAAAGTGTAGTTTCTGGAGTCACATAGTCTAGAGTCGAAGTTTATCGCACTGAGCTCGCTACGGATGAAGTTCATCGAGCACCATCCAGACCAACTCCTAGTCTTGAGGATCATGTTATTTTGCAACATATGATGTCCTCACCAAGGATTACCAATATTCATCCGTTGGATGAAGCGTCCTAGAACGACGCTTTCTTTGGTACCTCGATCCGGCAAGGGGAGACAAACAGTACATCTGATACTGCCCTACGTAAATCTGAAAGAGTTCGACATCCGGTTCAGAGATTTATGCATGGAATTTTCCTTGCTGATCCTCATGCATACATGACTCACGTTCTTCTTGAGCCGAACCGAAATGCGCTTGAGGAGGCAATGCACAAAAATGAGTGGATTGAAGCCATGGAGACAGAACTTGCTGCACTTTGTCACCAACAAACATGGGAGTTGGTGGACTTACCTCAAGGTAAGAAAGCGATTGGTTGCAGATGGATCTTCAAGGTCAAGCACAACTCGGATGACAACGTATCTCGATACAAGGCGATTGGTAGCCAAGGGCTACGCACAACAAAGATGGAGTGGACTACGAAGAGACGTTTAGTCCGATTCTTAAAGATGACAACGATTAAATGCGGAGGTTGCTATTCTTTGTCAACAAGGGATGACGGATGCATCAAATGGACTTCAAGAATGCCTTTCTCAATGGTGATCTCGATGAAGAAGTCTACATGCAACAACCACCAGGTTACGAAGATCAGAAGTTTCCTTCCCATGTTTGTAAGTTGAAGAAATCCCTCTATGGTTTGAAACAGGCTCCAAGAGCATGGTATGAGAAGATCAATTCCTTTCTCATATCTCTTGGATTTGTAGTCTGTCATTCCGACTCATCGCTATACTGCATGAGATCAAGAGTTCATGTAGTGATGATTTCCATCTACGTAGATGATCTTATTGTCACTGGGAACCATGAGGAGATGATTTCTCGCATCAAGAGTATCTTATGTTCCGAATTTGAGATACAAGACTTAAGGTATCTTAAATTCTTTCTTGGTGTGGAGTTTATTACATAGGGAAAGGATATGTGGCTAATACAACGCCAATATGCTTTAGATAAGCTTAAGAAATTCAGGATGTCTGACTGTAAACCAGTCGATACTCCTCTCCAACAAGGTCTAAAGCTAGAGTTAGAGGATGGAGAGTTACTTTGCGATCCCGCCCTGTCTGCACAAAATGGTTGGGAGTTTGATTTATCCGACTATCACTAGACCGGATTTGAGCTATCTTTGTTGGTCTAGTCGGTCGGTTCATGCATGCTCCACGGGTACCGCATATGATGGCGGTCAAGCGGATTCTCCGCTATGTGAAGTCCACACTTCATTTTGGACTTCGATACAGATTTGGAGGTGAGTTGAACCTGCATGGCTACACCGATGCTGATTGGCAGGAGATCCACGTCTGGATATGCGTTTGGACTTGGGAGTGCGGCTGTGAGCTGGGCTTCTAAGAAGCATCGGACCGTGGCACTGTCTTCCACAGAGGGAGAGTATCATGGTGCTATGAATGCCATTTGTGAAGCAGTTTGGCTTCGTTCCTTGCTTTCTGATATTGGAGTAGATTATCCTAGCTGATAACATTAGCAGCATGATGTTAGCTAACAATCCTATTTTTCATGCTAGGACAAAGCACATTGAGGTGCACTATCACTTTGTTAGGGATAAGGTCCTTTCAGGTGTAGTAGATCTTAGATATATACATACAGGAGATCAGGTTGCAAATATCTTCACCAAAGCTTTACCTAGAGAGTCGTTTGCTACATTTCGACATTGTCTAGGAGTTTAGGATGTATAGTTGAGCTTGAAGGGGAGTGTTAATATCCCAAGGTCATCGAGTTGATATAGGTCGATTCGTGCCTGATGACTACAGGCCATAGATCTAGGGTTGTTACGTACCGATGGTACAAGTCTGTTTAGGGCTAACCCGAGATTAGAATTTCCATGTACTCCCCCTATATATACAGGGGAAGCCAAAACCTTCCCCATCTCATTCATGTATACTCTCTCTTCTCCCTTTGGTGTGCTCTCCTCTTCTTGGAGTGATTCCTGAAGAGTCGGTTTCTCAACAACCTAAAGTGATTGCTCTCCTATAGATTGCACTAGCTAGTGCTCTGAGTAGAGCAATGGAAACACGTTGCCTAAAATAAGCTATATAATAAGATAAAGAGAGTGATATCACTGCCACCTAGTTTGGTAGGCTATTGCGCACTCCCTCAAGAACATGTCAAAGTCGGTGTCCATAGCTCCATATAACTTCAAAGATAGAGGAACAAAGGTGTGACCTCTATGCGTACCCATATACTTGGAGACCTTGGTAATGCCGCTCCACTCGCCGCCCATCATGGAGAATGGGTGATCAGCCCCCTCTGAAAATGTGAAACGTAGGATCGGTAACCACCACATCTACTACAGTAACATGATCTTCCCAAACCAAGTATAGGTTTGTCCTACCCCTAGTCGATTACAAGGCATACCAACGCCCTCTCCATGTAAGGTATCCACCATCTCGTTCCATATCATACACTATATCTCTAATGACATCATGAATAACTATACTCTACCATTCGAATGGACAATGAGTCAAAATTGTCGGAAGGAATCAATTCAACAAGGAAAAATCAATCAAAGGAATACGAGAAGAATTAAGACGGTGCTTTAATTGAGTACAATTATTTCTTAAAGATCCGGGGCTTTGTTTGTTAGACAAAAAAGTCCGGGACCTTTTGTCTTCGCATTTCGTTTATGCAGATAGATAATGGAAAGTTTCTGTGGCCTTTTTTTTTGGAACTAAAACTAAAGTAGTTTATTTTTTTGTCGTTGCAATTTGACATCAGTATAAACAATGATTAAGAACAACTAGTTCTAAAAGTGAAAACAAGCATCTTCTTAGGTTGGATTTGAACCTACAACCAATCGGTTAACAACCCACTGCTCTACCACTGAGCTATCAAGGAACAATGAGTTTAATTCTAAAAACATTCAAAAACTTTTCAACCATCCACGTGCAAGACAACCCAATCCGGATGGATATCTAGAAGTGCTCTAATGACCAACGATACCGCCTCACAACCTCATGGTGTGACCACTTCAAATTGATGTGGACAAAGATGCTACTGGAGATGTGAACGATGTTGCAAGACCACGGTACGACTCACTAAACACAATAAAACCTCCCCAATAGCAATCGGTTTGATGCTCCAAGTGTCCTTCTCCATTGTGAGGAGTCGACTAGCACCCAACACATGACTAACTCACAACAGAATCTCCCCTCACATAACTGATGTAACCACCTACAACAACTCCATGAAATCACTAGAAGGATCATCTGTTTGAAAGTAATCTCAAAGATGCTCATATACCATCCATGACAGTCCCCATGAGGATAAGCATGGGGTTGTGCATAGAGAATGGACAAATAGTGATCTATCAAGACATAATGGCTCCTATGGCTGATACTCCAAGACCAGTATTGATATTTCCTTGCCCATTGTAACACTAGGGAAGTGAGGAGTGACCACTCAAATAGCTCAAGAAATTTTGAAGTTGAGAGCCCCCTCAATGGTTTCTCTTTCTCCATATATAGTACTAAAAAATGTACAAACTAGATAAGGTTACACAACCACCATCCATTCAATTCCTCGTGGATTGATGATGCGGCAATCATCTATATGAGCACACGGATTGCTAACATGTCCAACTAACACACTAACTAGCACACAAGAAACACAACCTAAAGAGCACACAGATTGCTAACGTGATATCTTTAGATACTTCATTAATAGTCAACTCCTCCTTGCGTAACCGCTACTTTAGTCCTCACTAATTAAAGATGGTTACAAACCTCTCTCCTTTTAAGATGCAACATACTCGTTGTTCTCACGTTCAAACTCTTGAACGATCAAAGGTGCATTGGCTAAGTTCTTTGTCGGTTTCCAAGTTGATTCATATGATAGATATCCCTTCCATTGAACCATATGCTTAGTTTTTGGGTATTTGTGACCTCAGATCCGTTTTTTGAGAATCTTGTCAACCTCAAATTTTGCATGATTTGCTACCATAGTAGGTAAGGGAGGAGGGGTTGATGGATTTGTGAACTGCTTATGACGTGATACATGTATTCGCAATCGTGACACATGAAATACGAGATGTATTTTCATATGCAATGAGAGCTCTAACTTGTAAGATACCTCGCAAACACGTTTCAACAACACAAAAGGACCGATGAATCGAGGGTTAAATTTTGATGTTTCTACAAGTGACAAATTGGTCGTGGATAGCCAAACTTGATCTCCTTCCTAAAAATTCACCTCCATGCTATGAGCATATGCATATTGCTTTTGTCGATTTTGAGCAATTACCAACTTCTCCTTTGCTTGATGTAATCCTTTGTGTATGTGCTCCACGAAATCATTGATTGTCGCAACTTTGGTTGAAAACTCCTACCCTTTAGGAATTCTCAATAAACTAGAAGTCGTCAAAGGATGAACACCATACATTAGATAAAATGGAGACATTTTTATGGATGCATTAACATAATTGTTATATACAAATTTCACTAGAGTCAGAAGATTATCCCACTCTTGTTGTTCCTCCAAGATAAATGCTCGTAGCATATACTCTATTGTTCTATTGGCCTTCTCTGTTTGACCATCAGTTTGTTCCTCTATCTGTGATTAAGACTTTGCTTAATCCGTGATTCACAAAAATTGCGTCTAGATATAGATGAGAAAGTTGTGGTGCAATCACTGTCTTTGAGGTAGGTCGGATGTGTGTCATCTTACTCAATTTATCCACAAAGATCACGCTTGAATCATGTCATAAAGAGGTTTTTGGTAACTCACATACTAGATCTGTAATAACATGTTCCCATCATTGTTCGAGAATGGGAAGGTTTTGTAATAAACCTGTTGGATTTTTATTCCCAGTCTTATTTTGTTGACATGCAACATAACTTTGAACATATGACTCCACATCGTCCCACATCCTTGGTCAATAATACACTCGTTGTATGCTTTCCAAAGTTTCAGTTCCCACATGCCCCGCAATGGCTGTATCGTGGTCTTCTGATAATACCATTGTACGTAAATACGGATCTTGTGGGATCCATATATGCTACTCCTGAAATGCTAGACCTCGAATCTTCTTCGCCGTCTTTGCTTGAAGTGCTTTCATGATCTCCTCATCCTCCTTTGTTGCAGCCATCATTTGAGACCACCAATCAACTTGGATTTTCACCTCTGTGATGTTATTGATACACGGCATTTGCGTGAGAGCAGATGCAAGTTGTTTCTTGCCCTCCACATACACTATCTTCATGTTTAAGTGTTGACGTCATTCTGCCCATCGAATTTGTCGTTTGGAGAGATCTTTCTGAGTTTCCAAATACATCAATGGTTTGTGGTTGGTTTCTACCACAAACTCCTTGTCTCCCAAGTAGTGCTTCCAATGTTTGGTGGCCAGAACACTGACTAACTCCCCTCGTTCAGTAATGTGATAGTTTTGCTCTACTGCCATCAACTTTCGAGAGAAAAAGGCAACCGGATGCCAACCATCCTCCCATTCATGTTGAACAATTCCATCTACTGTTGTTCATGATGCATCAATAGCCAACTTGATTGGCCGATTAGGATCATACCCCTTGAGAATAGGTGCATGCAAGAGAGCATCTTTCAATGCTTGGAATGCTAACTTTTGTGCGGTTCACCATCTCCATTTTTGACCCTTTCCTAGCATAGATGTTAAGGCTTGGGTAAGGCGTGCAAAAGCTTTAACAAATCTGCGATAAAATCCGGTAAGACCTAAAAAACTCTTTAGCTGAGTTTGATCCTCTAGTGCTGTCCATTTCTGTATGGCTTCTATCTTCTCACTTATCATTTGGATTCTCTCCACTATGACTCAATGGCTTAAATAATCTACTTTTGATTTTCCGAATTCACATTTTGAAGCTTTGGCATATAACTCATTCTCTTGCAAACCTGAAGAAACTCTCGTAAATATGGCCTATGATCTTCTAAGATTGTACTATATACCAAAATATCATCCGAAAAGATAATAACAGATTTGTCTAAATAAGGATGAAAAATATCATTCATTAATTCCATGAATGTGACAGGTGCGTTAGTGAGACCAAAAGGCATCACTAGATACTCAAAGTGACCATACATAGTACGAAGAGCTGTCTTCTGAACATCTTCATCAGCAATTCGAATCTGGTTGTACCCGTTTCTCAAATCTAGTTTGGTGAAGTACTTCGTCCCTTGAAGTTGGTCAAACAAATCATCCATTCGAGGTAATGGATACTTGTTTTTCACCGTTTATTGATTCAACCCACAATAATCAATGCACAATCTCATACTCCCATCCTTCTTCTTCACAAATAGCACAGGGGCTCCATAAGTTGAAATGCTTGGTTGAATGTACCTCTTTCTTAACATCTCCTCCACTTGGGCTTTACATTCCTCCAACTCATTTGGAGCCCAACGATATGGAGCTTTGCAAGTTGGAGTGCTTCCATATATCACCTCGATCTTGTGATCTACACGCTGTCGTATGGACATTTCTTTGCTCTGAAAATGCTTGAGCGTATGACTGTAGAAGAACCCTCTTGAACCTCGTGTGAGTTGACAATCTCTTATTCTTCTCCTCAGCATTCCATATTCGAGTTCATTATAACCGGTAAAACTTTAGCGGAAGAAGATTATGATATCCAATGATTGGACCAATACCTCCCACTTAAACTTCATAGAAAATTACTTCACAACCATTTCAGTCTCTCATAAAAGTTTTATATATTTGTCTCTTCTAGATCTTTCAAAACAATTTTCAATTTACATACTGTATCACAAGGCAATATGCAGACCCCTGTGTACAAAAACCATCACACATCCCAATTCTTGACTCCAATTGCTCTCAAATTTCATGAGAAGGTCACTTATCATCCGACTTCGACTGTGAAAAGTTTTATTGACAAAACTTTCTCATATCAAAAGATATGATTGATGTACTAACTTCGTAATAGTCATTGTATTCTTGCAACTTTGACTGTATACACAAACTTCAACCTATCACTCCGTACTCAACACTCATCCAATTGAGTCAAAATTTCAATCCAAACACAAGCTCGAGTCGTAAACTATATCTTAGTTGATTGAGATCTTTCAAAACCCTTGTAAGATTCTAAGAAACACCCCAAATACACTCAAAGATCTAAATTTTTCTTTCTCTATCTTTGAATCACCATTTCACAGTGACAAACCCTTCAAATCCATCCATTCTTGGGCCCACGTCGTAGCTCGTCTTGTTAGCTCTCCAACCCTGTCTCCAAATCTCCGAATGTCCCCCTAGAAGGTCTCCAAAACCCCTCAAAACCTCAAAGAAGTTGCCATAGTGCCCTCATTGGTCAAAACTCCTAGACCAATGAGAATGGAGAGTGTTATTTTGACCTCTTGTGTGGCCAAATTAGCTCCATTTTAACTTAGAGGTTTACAATTATCCTAAACACACTACTTAAACATCCTATACATAATATGAGTTGTCACTAATAAAAGTTAAAATGACAACTCGAAACCGACTAAGTATACCCGAACATGATCACGATGAAGACACCGGATGTTGATCACAAATGGACTAGGCATTGGTACATCTGGAGGATCATATTGTCCTCTATCCATGTCGTACATCAACTCCACTTCAATTAGATAAGCTCCTTAGTCAGTAAGGTGATGTGTCTAGATCTCTCCCATACCCTTATCTTTTCTTAAGAACCTTACAATGCCATTGATTATCCTAACCTAAAGTATCACCGTCATGACAACAGTTTTGAAGATGACACATGTCATCATGTTCTCATAGTAGCCGCATCACAACACGACAACGCCTCTTAGGTGGCAATCTTGCAAGTAGATCATAAGGGAAGACATCCTTATACTTCCTAATAGAATGAGTCCGAAATGTAA